TGTCACTACATAGGTGAGTTGTCACTACAGTAGCTAGTAGGTTGGTTGTCACTACAGTAGCTAGTAGGTTGGTTGTCACTACAGTAGCTAGTAGGTTGGTTGTCACTACAGTAGCTAGTAGGTTGGTTGTCACTACAGTAGCTAGTAGGTGGGTTGTCACTACAGTAGCTAGTAGGCAGGTTGTCACTACAGTAGCTAGGAGGTGAGTTGTCACTACAGTAGCTAGTAGGCGGGTTGTCACTACAGTAGCTAGTAGGTGGGTTGTCACTACAGTAGCTAGTAGGTTGGTTGTCTCTACAGTAGCTAGTAGGTGAGTTGTCACTACAGTAGCTAGTAGGCGGGTTGTCACTACAGTAGCTATTAGGTGAGTTGTCACTACAGTAGCTAGGAGGTGAGTTGTCACTACAGTAGCTAGTAGGCGGGTTGTCACTACAGTAGCTAGTAGGTTGGTTGTCACTACAGTAGCTAGGAGGTGAGTTGTCACTACAGTAGCTAGTAGGTGGGTTGTCACTACAGTAGCTAGGAGGTGGGTTGTCACTACAGTAGCTAGGAGGTGAGTTGTCACTACAGTAGCTAGTAGGTGAGTTGTCACTACAGTAGCTAGTAGGTTGGTTGTCACTACAGTAGCTAGTAGGTTGGTTGTCACTACAGTAGCTAGTAGGTGGGTTGTCACTACAGTAGTAGATGGGTTGTTACTACAGTAGCTAGTAGGCAGGTTGTCACTACAGTAGCTAGTAGGCGGGTTGTCACTACAGTAGCTAGTAGGCGGGTTGTCACTACAGTAGCTAGTAGGCAGGTTGTCACTACAGTAGCTAGTAGGTGAGTTGTCACTACAGTAGCTAGTAGGCGGGTTGTCACTACAGTGGCTAGTAGGTGGGTTCGAAACCCGAGCCCGCCAAAGTTTTCAGGCAATGTCTTCCCCTCTATCTCTCAATTTAACACCCTCTCTGGAATAAAAGGCACTCGGGCCTCCAATTGAATAGCCCTGCTGTAAAGTAACTACAGTTCATTTTGTCAGTAAAAAGTACAATGTTTCCTTCCAGGTTGTAGTGGAGTAGAAGTATATATAGGAAATACTATAGAAAACCTCAAAATGTACACAAGTACAGTACTTGATTAAATGTACTTGAAATACTTTCTACCACTGGTGTTAACAATAGTCATACATTATAAGCAGAGTATAATTCATCAAATACAAAAAAAGCATGAGAATGTGAGAATGAGAACCCTGGGCTCAACCTATAGGTTTGATCATTTGCGAAAACACATATCTCCCTCATTATTGATCCACCATGTGCTATTAAAGCCCAGAATCCAACAGCTTTGATAAAACACATTGCAGCACCTGGTGTTTTCTAATAAGCAGCTCTCCTTTCTGGTTAAAGAAGAACAGATGTGTTTGGAAACACTCTAAAATAAAGCAGCAGCGATCCAGTGAATGTCTGAATACTGACTTGCAGGCTCCGCACTCGAAGGTCCCGTGGCCCTCGTAGCACTTGTCGCTGTCAGGCTCTCCTTCAGAGGCGCACTGACAGTCGCAGATGAAGTTCAGAACCACCTCCACTTCCTCGGTGAAGCCCAGCGGTTTGATTTTAATCACCTCAGGCTTTCCGTTCGATGGACACTTCTGGGACTCGATGGAAATCTGGAAAGACACCTAGAAGCCAGAGGAGAGTTTATAGAGTCATTATAACTATTAAAGGCTTTGAAGCTAAGTGTCCCGACTTCCAGACATGACTCAGATCATTTGATGCTTTTCTCATTTATTGTTTCTTTTTAATTAAAGCATGTTTTCCCACCCTTTTTCTAAACTTAGAACAGCCAGTTCCCCCATGAGGAAGCACAAAGGACAATTTAGACCCCAGACACAGGACATCCAGACTTTAAAGTAACACTGCAGCTGATTATTGAGATCTAACAGCCCTTGTGTTCGCAATGTTTTCCACACTCTGATATTTGGGATCCTCCATGAGTTAATATGTTAAAGAAAGGTTTTCTCGTAATATTAAATTTCTAAACCAATGTTCAAATGTAGGCAAGTTTGTTCATTCTGTTTAAACCAGGTATTTCTGCACAGTTGCATACAGAGATTAGGCTAGGATTTAGAACAAGATCTAAAGGGAAAATGTGGACGATGACATCACAAAATAAAATAAAATGTAATATGGTACATCTAATATACACATTTTGCAGCCAAAGGAAGGTCTGTACCTCGTCTCCGATGGAGATGTTGGAGCACTTCCTGCCGTTCTCCCCTATTCCCTCCACACCGTTCTTGCAGATGGATTTGTATGTGATGGTAACTCCTTCTGGCAGACGGCCATTTTCCAGAATGACCTCAGACGACAAAGACTGCCAAAAAATACAATAAAAACAATCACTACAGGCTCCAGTGCAGACAAAATGTAGATCAATCAACAGACACGATTATTCCACTTCCAAACCCAGCTTGGCCTCACTAACACATACAGTATGTGAAGGAGTGTCGTGGCCAAGGCTTAACTGTACTATTATATTATATTTTATTTTATTGCAATTTGTATTGTGTTGCTCTGTTGGAGGAGCCTAAGATTTTCATTGTCATAACTACACTGTAGCTATGCACACATGACAATAAAAGCCTTGAAAGTCTTGAAACTTGAAAGTTTGAGTAATTTGGTAAGATGGACAACATTCATGTAACCTGAATGTTTGCATAGTATTTACTGTACAGGAGTTGAAGATACAGAAGTGGTGTCTTAAAGGTCCCATGTCATGCTTTTCCGGTTATCACCCGTCCCCTTGTGTGTTATGTAGCTTTTTCTGCATGTAAACGGTCTGCAGAGTCAAAATCCCTCAAAGTACACCCTGTAGGGAGTGAGACTCTAACACAGAGAAGACCTGTCTATGCTGCCCCAGAACGCCTCGTTGGAGATTTCTATTTTTCTTCCTGGGTACAGTGACGTGACCATACCCAAATGGACAATCCA